GCTATCTGAGGGTGAAAAAAATTCTTCGAGAGTCAGGCTGTAGCACGCCCATGTCAGGTAAGAATATTTTCTTCTCTTGCAGGTTCAGAGCTTAGCACGCCCCAACCGTGCTATCCAGCATATCCGTGCTCCAAGAGAATGTCGATCAAAGAGCGTGCTCAACTGAGCACGGCCTGTGCCACACTGCAAAGCAAGGTTCAGAGCCTAGCAAGCTCGTGCTAGGAACAGACCCCACTTTCTAAAAATTACATGCTTTGAATTTTTGATTGCTGCGAAAACCCTAAGCCTCTCTTCTATTTAAACCCTAACCCTCTCTCTCTCAATTAGCATGCCCCCACTCTCTCAAACCCTCTCAACTTCCCTTTTCTTCCTTCTCTTTTCTCCACAACCTCTTCTCCTTTAACAATCTCTTGCCACCATGCCTCCACGCCACAAGATAAGCAAATTTGCTGCTTTTGTGGTGGCAAGAGTTAGCCCCACGGCCCCCAATCTGGCTCCTCCTCCTCCACCAATAACTCGGTCTTCAAGAGGAACGAAAACTGCTCCACCACTGCCTACTGTTCCTTCTCCACCACCGTTTTCTCTTACCAGACCGAAGCAGAAAGAAAGGTATAAAAAACTCTCATCAAGGCCCATTCTTCCTAATCGCTTCATTGATGAGAATGCTCTATCAAAAGTAGGCCTTAGAAATGCAGTTTTAGGACCATTAAAAAGAATTGAGTGGAAGAGATTCATTGCCATGAAGTATTTTGTTTATGCACCACTTACATTAGAATTTTTGAGCTCTTATTCGAGTAATATCTTTTTGTTGCATGAAAATTATCCAAATAAAATCAAGTTTAGATTTCTTGGCAAGAATTTTACATTTTCAATAGATGAGGTTTGCCATATCTTTGGGTTTCCTATAGAAGGTGCCCAAAAGACTATCCCCAAGGATTTTAGAGTCGGAAGTAAATGGATTACCTTAACCAGATTGAATGGCTATAATCTTAGGTACTGTAAAGCTTCTAAGTTGAGAAACCCAGCATATAGGTATATTCATACATTCCTGGCTAGCACAATCTTTGGGCGAAGTGAAAGTGATGGTGTGCTAAGTTTGAATGAATTATATTTTATCTAGGCTATTGATCAAGGGGTACGTTTAAATGTGAGATATTGGCTTTGTTAGTGTTGGGCTAACGTTGTTAGGGCGGATAAGGGTTCTATTATGATGGGTTATTTTTTTACACGGATTGGGTCTTATCTCACGGCATGAGATCTTGTCCGTCCTGTTTATGATATATTAGCAGGAGGAAAAAGCACTCGCATTGATATAGATGTTATGCACCACATGAAGATAGTAGAAAAGATAGGTGATACATTTCATCTGGTGAGACGTACAGTTGAGGAAGATGATGAGAGTGATCATGAGGAGGGAGACAATATTAACATGGAGGAGGGTTTTCCACATACCACTCCTAGTTTGGGTACTTTTTCTGGTGCAGGTACATCTGGAGCTGGCCCATCTTTTCAAGGAGTGTCTGTCATGTCCAATGGAGAGGTTCTTGCGCGTGTGATATCTAGAATGGACATGTTTGATGCTCGTTTTCAAGGGAAGGAGACCATAATTTCTGACTGCTTCCAATCAATAGAACTTATGCATGGAAGTCTCAAGTCTCGCATGGATACAATGCAAGACCAATCAATATCATGGAATCAGCGGACAATTCCAAATAGTGATACAATTGTTGCAGCCACATCCACCTCCATCACCTACGAAATGACTTGTTTTTAATTATTTATCATTTTTCCTGTTTTTAATAATTATGTTGGCTTGATTTCCTTTTGTTTCTGAGTTATTTTCAGACCTTGTTCTTGTTAACATTAAGTATTTTGGATATTATGTATTTGGTTTTTAGTGTTTTTTTTTCGTAGTTTTGACAATTTTCAGCGCCCGGCTCTGATCGTATCTTTTTCTTGGTTCTTATTGTATTTTTCAATATAATGGTGGTAATGGTTTCTTAGCTCTCATGTTCTTCTGCCACATTGTTGATAATATTGTAAGTTTGGGGAATTGATTTTGAGCACATTGGGGACAATGGGCCAAATTGAATTGGGAGAAGGGAAATTTTAGTCAAAATTTTTGTTTTAGCTTAATATGGTGGAGATAATTATAAGCAAGATCACAAACTATCATTATTTATGAACTTATGATATTTTGAGCTATTTTCTACTCTTGTTATGTTTTATTTTGAAAATTAAATTCTTGCTTGATATGATTTTTTGGTTTAAGCATTTGTTTTTAAGGTCATAAATACCAATTTTTGTGAATTTTTATGATAGAGATATATGTTTGATCAAAACTTATTTAACCTTAGTATTCCTAGAACAATTTCGAATTGCCCTTGAGGCAAAGTTTTTAATGCTCACATTAGGAAGAAAAATTTAGGCATTCTTTGTTTATAAAACATATTTAGCCTATACCACCTTAAGTTAAATTATGACCTTTGCAATCAATTTGAAGCCTATAACAAAATTTTTCTTTACCCTTATTAAACCTAGCCATAAAATAAATTTAAGAATCCATACCCTAAGTGCAAAAAATTTGAAGCCTATAACAAAATTTTTCTTTACCCTTATTAAACCTAGCCATAAAATAAATTTAAGAATCCATACCCTAAGTGCAAAAATGTATAATTGAAGTTCATTTTATTAAAACATAGTAAGAGAATAAAAGGGAGAATATTTATAATCACTAGCAAGTGAAGAAAGTAAGAAATTCAAAGAGAGACACTTCAGGAAAAAAAGAAAGTAATCAAAATTCATGTTGATCCTAATCGTGTTGCATGTTAGGCGAATCCATTCAATTCTGGCACGCAATCCATTTTAATACTCATAGATCATACCATGCATGATTTTTGCTATTGAATACCTTGGTAAAAGGTTTCGCAGAATACTTATGAAGACACATCTTATCATTACAACTTTTTTTAGCAAATCTCAATGAAATACAATTTTATAATGCATTTCATGATCATTTTATTATATAATTTTGTTATTTTTGAACGATGTTATAATAGTTTATTTCATTCTTTAATATTGCTCTTTCTATCATGGATTCTAACACTAGTGTGTATATATATATTATTATGATATATATATTAATAATATTATATATAGTATTATATATATATATATATATATTGTTTAAATTATAATTGCTGCTATGTGAATATTTTTTTAATTTTGGTAATTCGAATGAAAACTTATTATATATATTGTTTAAATTATAATTGTGCTATGTGAATTTTTTTAATTTTGGTATTCGAATGAAAACTTTATAATTGAATATTTGAGATATTAAAAAGCTGCATTTTATGTATTTAGCCGGATTGTTTTATTGAAAAATTAAAATGAATTATTTTTTAAGAGATATTGTACAATGCTGCAATTATAACATACTACAATTCATTCAATATAATGTATTACAAAGCTCATATTGGATTAGGTCCTGATTGTCAATTTTAGTGGTTCTAGTAAATGTTAACTGTTGTAATAGCTGTCAGCTCTTTTACTAGTTATTAGCGGTTAGATATTAGTTGTTAGTAGTTAATTGTTTATATAGTGCAATTTAAAATAAAAGTGTTCAATAAAAATAAGTATTTAATTAGCTATTTAATATAAAAAGACAAAAAATGATAAGGACATTGAGAACAAGACAAAGACAATTGATGGACATAGATCTGATAAAAAAATTATAAAAGGCTAAGCATTAATGAGGCATTTCATGAAACATTGCCTCAAACTCTAAACGTTAAAATAGATGTTATATTACCGAACATAATAATTAATTAAAATAATATTTTAACTCAATTAAAATAGTGTTTTAACTTAATCAAAACACTAATCACTACTCCAAACGCTATTGCCCACCAGAGCCTTATAGCGCATTAAATTTGATAGAAATCATAACAATCGGGAAAAGGGAAATTTTGATCCCATGATCAACACCTTAACCATTTTGATTAAATTTTTACTCTATAAATGATATGTTAAATATAAATATCTATTTCAATTCATCTCTCTTTTTTATCTTTTTTAAGTTTTTATTACCTTATATCTCATCTCTCAAATTTCTTATAATTTTGCTTGGATTCCAAAATTATATGCGTGTGTGCGTGAGAGAGAAAAAAAAGAAATTAAAAATAAAGGTAATAATCTAGAAAATAAATAAAGGAAAATATTTAATTAGATAAAAATTTGTTACTTCAGATATTTAATTGTAATTTTTTTTTAGACACTTAAAATAAAAACACAAAAATATAATCGAGCCTTTTGATTATGCTTAACTTATCGGAAAAATGTATCTTCAAAAAAGAAAAAAGACATAAAACTTATGGGAAAAAGGTGCTATTTGCTAGAGAGTGGAGGAATAAAAAAAAAAAAGAAATTCTATAAATTTTAATCCACTAATAAATATTCTCTTTGTTTGTAATTATTTGTCACTTTTAAATACTTCACGTCTCTTAAAAAAAAATTCAATTTATCTAATTTACAATGAAAATCATTTAATTATTATCGGTCTACAAAGTGTAAAAATGAAAGAATAATTTATTATTTATTAAATCCATAAATGTATTAAGTATTTACAGATATAAAATTTTTTTAAATATAATAAGTATTTGGAAAGAGAGGGAAATGCCTTATCATTAATTATGTACACATTTCAAGGTTTATTTAGTTTTCCAAAATTACCCAAAAATTTATAAAAATTAGAGAGGGAAAATCCAAAAGGTTTACTAGGCTAGTACTTTTTTGTAAATATACCAAAAGGGAGAAACATAGGGAAAAATAGGATACGAGAGGGAACAATGTAGTTACGATAATGATGGAGACAAGTAATTATGTGAACATGCAAACCACTGTCCATCCACAAGAAAATAATAATAGAAGAAGAGAAGAATCTGACCTACCCACTTATTAAGTTAACCTTTTCTCTTTATATAATAACTTCCCTTCTTACCCATCACAAAACAGAAACAAAAACAAGAAAATGCAAAAGAAACTAGTAGCACACTGTATCCTCTTGCTTTCTTTATTTTCTCTATCTTCTTTAGCGTTTCCATGGAGCCAAAGCCAAAGCCAGGAAGATTTTAATCAAGCAAAGAACTACGAAGGCTCTTCTGATTTAGTAGATCTGCAATACCATATGGGTCCTGTCTTAGCTTCATCACCTATCAACTTATATATTATTTGGTATGGTCATTGGAACCAAAACCATCAAGCTACTATAAGAGACTTTATCTACTCACTTTCTTCTTCAGCTCCTTACCCTTCTGTTTCTGACTGGTGGAAAACTGTCCGGTTATATACCGATCAAACCGGATCCAATGTGACTGGAAATATAATCCTTTCAGGAGAATTTTATGATTCAAGCTATTCCCATGGAAATTATCTAAGCCGTTTAGATATGCAATTAGTTATAAAAAATTCAGTTTCTACCCATTTTAGACCTTTGCCTCTAAATCCTCATAGTGGGCTTTATCTAGTACTAACTTCAAGTGATGTTCAAGTTCAAGATTTTTGCAGGGCAGTTTGTGGTTTTCACTATTTTACATTTCCAACTACTGTTGGAGTTACTGTGCCTTATGCATGGATAGGTTATAGTGGAAGTCAGTGTCCTGGATTGTGTGCATACCCTTTTGCGTGGCCTAAGTATTACTCAGGGAGGGCACCAAATAAGGGGAATAGTATAATGAAAGCACCAAATGGAGATGCAGGTGTTGATGGAATGATTAGTGTGATTGGCCATGAACTAGCAGAAGTTTGTAGTAATCCTTTAGTAAATGCATGGTATGCAGGGGATGATCCAACTTCACCAACAGAAATAGCTGATTTGTGTTTAGGTGTGTATGGGACTGGAGGAGGAGGAGGGTATGTTGGGAATGTGTATAGAGATTATTGGGGAGATGGGTATAATTTGAATGGAGTAAAGGGAAGGAAATTTTTAGTTCAATGGATATGGAATCCTACAAAGAGAAGATGCTTTGGGCCAAATGCACTGGATTAAAGGTTTTGTTCGTGTATATGAATTTCTTCTTCTTATTGTTACTATTATTACTAATTTGGCTCTAATAATGTCTGGATTCATCAAGTTCCCAATTTTTTGAAACAGTTTCATCTCAGTAGTATTGAAACAAAGCTTATTAGGTGGTGTTATAATTCATGTATATGATTTCATATTATTTGCTTATTGCCCGCCTAATGCATAAACTTGCTCTCTAAGATTTCGTGATTTGCCTTTATCATCGCTATCATGACCCTACCACTATCATGACCCTACATTTTCTCACATTTCGGTAATAACCATGCATCTCGCTAAAGTGCAGGATCATATTAAACTCTTATAAAGTTATTATTTTATTTTGGTGAGAGATATAATTTATCAGTGAAATGTGAATTGTACGGTCAAAATAGCACATCACAAACACTCTCCTCAATCCGTTCTCTCCAAAATCCATTTCCTAATCTTGCTCTCAGGCTTTATGGATTCAACCCTTTCGCTTTAATGCTCGCTCTAATTTATTCCATCAAGCGATTTCACTTATGTAGAAATTATTTTTTTCTGGTGTTTCGCCTAATAGTTTTGCCTTCTCATCGGTTTTGAAAAAAGGTAGCAGATGTGTATTTAAATCATTTTTTATTTTTAAGAAAATGTTTAGTAGTATTGAATTGTTAGAGGAGGGGGAGACGCATATGATACTCCTACAATTGGTAGAAGCGTAGTGTTCTCAATTGCCGATGGCGGTGGCAGTGGTGGTGGTGGAAGCGGTGAAATATGAGTACTCAGTATGTGGAGGGGGATTTTGATGATGAAATGGTGATGGTGGGTCATTTCAATGATGTTGTAAGGGTGGGTAGTGGTAGCTTTGTGTGGAAGGTGTTGATGGTTTTAATGGTGGTGAGTGGTGATAACTTGGTGTAGATGTTGGCAGCACTGGTGATGGTGGTTAGTGGTCATAGTTTGGTGAGGAAGATGGCGGTGGTGATATGGAGTGGTGCTTGAATAATTTTTTATTTTTCATCTCATAACCCACTTGGCATCTTTTTAATTGTTTTGATTTTGATGTTTTTACGTAGAAAGAAGGGTAGTAAAAAGGTTAAGTGCAATTCTTATCATTTTAAAAGACTTATCTGATCTCTTTCCTATAATTTTTTGTATTTAAACGGTAAAAATACTAAAAATAAATGGAGGGACTATATAGTTCAACGGAGTCAAATCTCATTAACGTGTTAGATATTTGATTGAACTACAGGACTATTCAAATAATTTGATCAAACTTTTGGGATGAAATAATAATTTTTCCTTTATAAAATTTTAAAAATTTTGATTATAACATGATAGCCAATAAACAAATTTTCTTAAATCTTTTTAATAACAATGAAGTCAAGTATGTCAATTAAAATATTCAATTAAACTCCAAATAAATTTCAGGCCTCAAACGAGTAAAAAAAAAAAAAAAAAAAAACGAGTAAAAAAAAAAAAAAAAAAAAAAAAAAAAGCCTGAAATTTAATTTGAGCCTCAAAAAACAAGGAAAAAATAATATTTTCCTCGTTTGACAAAAATATAGGAAAAGAAAAATAACTAAAAATAATAATAAGAAAATTTTGTTTTCCCTTCTTTGGGAAGCAAGGGAAGTACTCCCTCTCATTTATTTATTTGGACAAAAGTGATTTTGCACACGAATTAAAGAAAGAATTCTTTTTTCTAATTTGCCCTCAACATTGCAAGAAGGGTACTAAAACGTACTCTATTGAAAAAAGTGCGAGCTTCAACAAAGTCAGTACATAAAATTTGGAATTTTGCAAAAATTGGTGAACCAATTTCCATAAAATGAATGGTGCTTGAAATGAGTGCAATATTTCTAATTGTACACTCTCGTTCGAGGAATTATAAGAATCGTGCAAAGAAAAAAAAATTGTGCCCAAAAAATGAATTTTTCATGCACCTTTCAATCAAAATAGAGAGAAGGGGGATAAAAGCATTACTTTGAAAACCTAACCACATTTAGTGCATTTTCTATACTTTGTTTGCCACTTTCTTGAAATTTTCAAGTTAGAGCAACCAAAAAAGCATGTAAGGGCTCAATAGACTTTATACTTTGGTTTTTTACCGAATAGTAAGTTTGTCAACCTTAATTAGGAATTTTGTACAAATAAATGAACCGGAGGAAGTATAAACTATAAAGGTCAATGACTCTTAAGAAAATGAAAATAACAATAACATGAAGGCATAAAATGAAACAATATATATAAAAAAAAAAAAAAAAAAAAAAAAAAAAAAAAAAAAAAAAAAAAAATTACTAAATAGATCCACAATACAGTTCAGTTACTTATAACTTAAATGTCAAAGGAAAATTTGATTGGCTTTCCCATTTTACATGCAAGATTTACATGTATACAACAAATCATCCTTAAGACATCAAATATTCTGAAAGTTTTATCTGTTCTCACCTTACTACAAAAATTGCCCTTTTGCCACTATTTAGCAGGATACAACGGAGAAAAAAAAAAAAAAAAAAAAAAGGATAGAGAAGCTGTACACTTACAGGGAAAACAGGCATTCTTCAGTAATTTCCATCATTGAATTTTTGAAGCCTCCAATATCTATAAAAGCTCAATCTTGGACATTTGTTGAGCTCTAGCAGAACGCTGATGTGCTTGATAATCAGATTGCTGCTTTAATGTTCAGCAAACTTTGATGGATTATTTTTAAAAAAAAAAAAAAAAAAAGGATAGAGAACTGTACACTTACAGGAACAGGCATTCTTCATAATTCCATCATGAATTTGAAGCTCCAATATCTATAAAAGCTCAATCTTGGACATTTTGTTGAGCTCTAGCAGGAACCTGATGTGCTTTGATAATCAGATTGCTGCTTTAATTTCAGCAACTTGATGATTATTTTTACAGAACCGACAAGTACTGTAAAAATCACAATATATCAAAGCAATGGATACAGGTGCGGTCAATAAGCCGAGCCACAAGGCTCCCTGGTTCTGGAATGAGTGCTGATGTCAAGCTGCTCCAAAAGTGAAAGGTCAATGACTCGCTCAATATCTTCTTGAAAATAGCATCTTGTCTACCCTTCTCATTCTCTGCTGTAGGTGTAGTGAAGTAACTGTATGCAATTAAAATAAATTAAGGCACACAATAACGAATACAAAATTTTATTTAGGTTGTGCGCTATAGATTTGACAACTACTGGAGCCAAATGGATATAGAACTCCTCATTTGTATAAAAATTTGATGAACTATTTGCAAATGAACTGGTACATTTGGTTTTTTTACATTTTAATTGAAGACATACATTCATTTTAGGATTCATTTGCAAAAATTCTATTAATTTTTATAGTTTTGCTCCAGCAAAACTAATTCCACAGAATATAAAATACAGAATTCCAAATGAATTCCAAATAATCAATTAATTTGTTTCATGCAGACTCGCACAATAATTTCTGCTATATGCAAAATATGTTCTTCAGTAAGAAAGAATGGAAGTGAAGTAAGGTTTATGCAAATAAAGGTTTTCCCCGTGTCAAGGCACTGTTGATTAAGGATCTCGAAGTACAGGAATGATAATCACCATAGATTAAATAGCAGGGAAAGAAAGTTGCAGCCTTCTTATTACCTTTACACCATTAAATAGCAAAGAATCTGAAAAAGTACAGGTAATTATTTTTACAGCAGTTTTTACCAGTCCTTGTGTTAGGCTCCAAATATGCATTTGCCAAATGCTAGACACCTAGCTTAGCAAATTCTAAACTGATCAAGAACAATTTTAAATTATGAACTTTCTGCTCATATAGTAATTTTAATTGCCAAAATTCAGGTCAAAATTGTTGCAAATCCATCCATTGTATACTTCTAAAAACAAATGCCATAAAATGACTTAAACTTTACATATTTCTAACGGTCCTATTTTCTTATGTGACTGTAAACATGATTTGGGCAGCGACCATAATTCGCTTGCTTCCATTATTCAGAATGAGTGAACGACCTTAGACCTAAGACAATGCTACCCTACAGACCTATTATGTCAATCTTGAGTTTTCCTTTTCAGCCTCTCTTATTTACCATTGAAGATATAAAAAGGAAATGGTTTTCAAATATGTATTATATGCTCTACATAATTCAGGCATACTGGGATACATCCCCATAACCCGCAAGAAATTATTATGTCAAACCCATGAAAAATTTCTTTATTAGTTTTTGCAAACCTATGAGCCAAAAGGCAAATTCCTATTTTCCAGAATATCAGAACTCAATGTATTATAGCATATAAACATAAAATATATGCAAACAAGACAAAAAAAAAAAAAAATCATTGGGGAATACCTTGTAATATCCTGTGAACCAATAGGGAAGAAAACATAAGAGGGTTGCACATTCAACTCTAACTGTTTCATGGACTTATCATCTTTATTCAAAAATTTTCTTGCAACTCTCATTAAAAGATCAGCCCCATTCCATCTCAAATGGGTATCATCATATGTTGTATAAAACTCCTTCAAGCATTCCATTACGAATGGACTGCAAAAAGAGAAGCAAACCTCAATCCAGAAATAAAAAAGATAATTTCCTATGCGACTAATGGATTGCTACTGTATACATGCAATGATTATGTGAAATGCTGTACTTTTTTAGACTTTAAAATTTTATTTTTATATTATAATATGTACTTTAATATAATGTTTTATTTATTTTTAAATACATATATATTTTGCATGACTTTATTTTCTTCTTCTCAAATATAATTAAAATTAAAAAAATTATTAAAAGGCTTAAAGAATCTGAAAAAAATGCTTTTCCTACACACAAGTAGTTTTGTTTTTCATCTTTTTACTTGTAGTTCAATAAATTGTTTTGATTGATAGTTAACCATTAATAAGATCTCCTAGTTTACATGTGTTCAATTTTTCTTAAATTTTTATTGGTAATAAAATAATATTTTACACTATACAATTTCGACTTCACCATAAATTGAATGCTATTCACTAGGAGAACCCAATTTGCATCATTCTTTTTCTTTTTTTGAAGGTTAGAGTATTTAGTTGACCAAAAATATTATTTTTAAATTTCACAATTATAAAATATTATACAATTTTATAAAATACAACAACTAAGCCTTAATCACGAACATATAATTTTATAAAACGTTTCTCTCAAATTAATTTATGCTTTGACATGTTTTATGAAATTTAAAAATAAATATCCACCTTCATAGCTTTTGAAATACATTATCATATAATCATTATATATAGCTATTAATTGACCTCCCCACATTTTTCTTCCAAGGTTTACCCCTGTCTAGGACTAAGTCAAGGTTTTTCTCTAGTGTCATTTGACTATCCAAAAGTAGAAAGCGAAAGCCACAAGAACCTGTTTTTTCTGAATGCCATCACAGCCCCATTCAAAGAACTTCCAGCACGATGATCCTCCAGGCCAACAGTATTATTAAGTGAAGACAATGGATTAAGAACTATAATGTCAAAATCAAGATAGATACCACCATATCTGCACAATCCAACAATGAGTATAGCAAAGTTGAGTTTAAAACACAAAATATGGAATATGGTGAATTTCCATTAAAGAGGATTTCAGAGAAATCTGAGAAGAAACATACAGGTGGAAAAAACATTATCCTCTGCCTGAGGGAGGACCAAAATATACTCTTTCTAAAAGCAATGACTTTAAGTCTATTTTATTTAATATATATCTCTTCCTTATTGGTTGCTTGGTAAAGAAATGGTTAAGAAAGTCCAAGAGAATTTCCATGCGCTCACAAGGAAGTTGTATAATTAGGAAAAGTGTAGCCAAGCAGCCTACTCTGGTGGAGGGATGAATTTGTACTCTGATACCAGTCCTTACAAAGAGGTTCTAGGTAAAGAGTTGGGAGGTTTATGTTCCAAAAGGAACATCTTCAGAGGATGGATATTGTTGTTAAACAAGATATGTATCAAAATAAGCAGATATCTAAAGAAAGATGAAAATCACATGGAGGGTTTGGATGCTCTCTGCTGTTTGAAAACCCACCACAATTAAGAAGCTCCTCTAGTTAGGGAGCATGTAACCCTAGGAGCTACACTCAGAGTGGAACAAGAAAAAGTTAAAACCGTCTATAGTAGTAAAATTTTCATGTTCACAAGATCGCAGTATTTCTCAAGATTCATCATACCACTTATAGATCATAATCTAGATGTATGTTCACTTTGCCATACCATTCACTAGATATAGCACTTGCTTCCTTTCTTACTTCCTTAAGGGCTTAAACTTGTGGCTTATACTTGAGCAAAACCCAAAGAATTGTGAATTAGAACAGGTCCATACACGATTTATTTCTAATAAAAAATCCTGGCAAGTGCACTTGCATTTCTTGACGTGTTTGCTATTTTTTAAAGGCCTTTAAGATATCAAACAGACACTCTAGCCATTCTTTGACGTAGAAAGTAAAGATTAAACCTGAGCCAACTTTATCACACTCAAAACTTCTACAACCTGTTCCCACCTAAAATAACTATTTATTGGGAAAATTTTGATTATCTAATGGCTGAACCCAAGAAGAAACAATTACAACTCACAAAATTTCTAATAAAAAGGCTGGCCATACTTGACACGACACACTGTTAGACACAAATTGAATGAAGAACAGTGATCGAGTAGGCTATCAACCTTAAATAATAGATTCAAATTGATTGAAATTAAATTTTAAAAATGATCCTGACATTCCTTTGGACACAAATCACATTCTATACAAAAGGACTGGCAGTCTGTTTTACCAAAAACAAAATTATATTAAAATGAGACAAACAATGGTGCTATACAGTCATGCTATATAAATGGGTGAACAGATACCTAAAATAAAAACTTAAAAGAAGGATTACTACAACTTGGTACTTTAAGTGATAAAACTAAAATGGGAGAGAGTCCTGCCTCCCATACCCAGTAGAGTGTCCATCTCTCACTCCCCCTTCCCTCCCACCTTCTTCTATTTATGCAAGAAGCTGTTTACCTGATGAGTGATAAGTTAAGGCCATTACTCCACCCCTATCTCAAATCATAGATAGATCATATTGGTCAACATAATCTTAAGCCATTGTGATTCCCTAAACCATGTCCTAAGGAACCAAAAATAGTATCAACACCTCCAAATTTCACTATGTATCAGTCAATACATAATGTAATATATATATTATCAACCAAATTTTAAAAAGGTCAAAGGTGTAATAGCCTTTCCCCAATTATTCAAAAGCGAAGCCAATTTTAAAAAGTAGTTACAAGTTTAAACTTTTCCTCCATCTAGCAACACCATTGCACCAATTGTCAAGGTGGCGAGAGGAACTTAGGATCATAGGACATTCTATTCTATAGCTAAACCCAACTATAAAAATATACAATCAGCCCTAGACCAATTCTCACCAAATGCTTTATCATGTTATACCAAAGCTAGAAATTTAGGCGTCAAGGCTCTCCTGTGTCAAAGGGGTGAACTGAATTAGGCGTCACCAGAAAAAAAAAAAAAAAAAAAAAAAAAAAAATTCTCTACCTTATCTGCATGACGACCTAATTGTCTACAATAGTGTGCCAAATGGTTGCGAGAGGAATTTATTGTAGATTCTAATTTAGACAATTCGTATTCTATAGGCTTAACCATACTTAAAATATACCGATCGAGCCCTTAAGACCCATAATTATTGTCTCACCTTAAAATCTTTATCATGGTTGATAACCAAACGCTAGAAAATGTTTAGGCGTCCTCATGGCTCTCTCGCTTGATCTACAAGTGCGGTGAACTGCATGTTATTGGTTAGCGTGCACTGCGAAAAGAAAAATAAAAAAAATAAAAATATAAATTTACAGTCATTGAGAGATGTTCACTTTAGTAACAGGATAGTTTTCACACTCATAGTAAATTAGATAAAAGGAGACTCCGCACATAAGTTCTACTTTCAGATTTACTTGATCTTTCTCTTATTCTCATATACCATCGTAACACATCAAGGTTGATGTGATATAATTCATTATATGCCATAACGAAAACACCAAAAAATAAAAATAGTGTTTGAAAGAAACTCACTTGTACGAGAACAGTTCACAGCCCAACTCGCTATATGTGTGGGTAAGTAACTCTCTTTCGTCTTCCTAATCAGACCAAAATCAGCAAATACAGCAGTTGTGTAGTTCCTTTTAAAAAAAAAAAAAAAAAAAAAAAAAAAAAAAATTTACAGTCATAAAAGTTCACTTTAGTAACAGGATAGTTCAAACTCAAAATTAGATAAAGAAGACATCCAAAAAGTTTATCCAGATATTACTTGATCTTCTCTATTTCAAATAACCATCTACACACAAGGTTGATGATAAATCATATACTGCTCAAGAAAACACAGAAAAATAAAATAGTTTGAAAACAAACTCACTTGTAGAGAACAGCAAGCCGGACAAGCTCGCTATAGTGTGTGGGGTAGAACTTCGTTTCTCTCCACTCAGACCAAACATCAGCAAATACAGCAGTTGGTGTATCCTTAAGCAATTCATCAAGATTTGGCATGGCAACAGCAACTTTGTAACTACAGAAATATAATTGCATTAGACAACAATTCAGACTACAAGTCAATAAATAGAGTAGCAAAAACACTTAATTTGAGCACTTACCCATCTTTCACAAAGCTACCCATAAAAAAGTCCAGTTCAATTGTCTCAGATAGCACAACAACACAGGCATCTCTGTGGTGCAACAGCAGACTTTCGAGTCCCCTCTGGTGCCTAACGGTATACATCCAAGGCGGTGAATTCCACACCATGAACACCCTCATTTCACACTTCCCTTTCCTAAAAAAAGAATCCATGAAATCTGAAAATGACAAATGAGGATGCAAACCAGGAAAGTAACCCCATCTTTTCCCATCTGGAAACACGTAACTCAACTCCTCCGGCTTCCTCTGCTGCACAACTGATTCCTTATTCTCGATACCACCCACTTGATTTAGTTCAACACCGCTAATACTCTCATTTGAGAAATTCACATTTGTAACAGCATCTGCAATACTCTTAGTAGATGATCCATTTCTTCTTGAATTATCACCAAGAATCACATAACTCCTTTCATATTCATTCAATATATTCCCATTTCCACCAGAAATCAGATTCTCGTCAACTTTATTTACTATCCTACCATATGATCCACCACTCACATTCTCGTTAAAAATCCTCCTTTCTGCTGTCTTGATCCCAACCTGACTTCCGAAATCTCTTCCACTCTCTTTTTCTCTGCCATTTTCTTCTACTTGCTTCTCATGGGTCATCCCCAAAACGCTCAAGGGCTTCTTAACAAGAAATGGGGCTTTCTTGAAATCATTGAATAACAGCTTCTGCACTGCCTTATCCCCTCTTGTCAACCCAGTAACTCCAACCACATCAGGATCCTGCAAAAGAGGATGATTCAAAGGATTCAACATTTCCAAATTCGACTTGAACATCCTATCCCTCCTCAAGAAATCGCTTTTCTTATCAAACCAGTCTCCCCACCCTTCTCTTAACGGCGAAACCCTTTTCCCAATCTTTAACAATAAGGCATCCTCAACCCCATCAACCTCATTCAATTTCCTCCTCACATCCTCATCTATAGGAATATCATCACTCCCGAACGCGGACTTACTTTGATCTTCCACGCCCAATCCTAAACTAAAAGAATTGTGATCATAATCCCACTCTTCAATTGAGCGTTTATTAAGAGCTCTACGAATCGATCCAGTAATATGGTCTACATAATATCCAGAAGGAGGACTCGTTTTCTTGATCAGGCCTTGCCCATTTTCTAAATCTCCTTCCAGTGACTCATCATCGTCATTTCTAAAATCAGTGGTGCCTTTTTGCTCGTCGAATGTGTCAAGCTCGTCGATCCTATCGACTACGTCATCTATTGAGTTGTCATCGGAGTCAGAGAGAAGGGCATTCTGTCGGATAACGGTGGCCGAATCCGGGTCGTCTCGTGAGTGGGCAAGGTGATGGTGGTGATGGTAGCGGCTCTGGCTGTGAGAGGAAGAGAGGCGAGTGTGGAGGAGAGAAACAGAGAGGAGGAGGAGAAGAGCGGAAATCACTGCGCAGACGTGTGCGCCATAACGGGGGCGGCGACGTGATCGGAGAGAACGGAGCATTGAATCAGAGAATTAAAGAGAAAGGAGTTTGATCAAGGAGTACAAAAGCGTGTCTAACGCTTCACTAGACACCACCCATGTTTAACTACCAGACCCTGTGCTTTCCTAAGCTCAGAAACGGTTCATTTAAGTAAATTACTATTCTGCCCCTCCAGTTTAATTTGTGAGATTTTTTTTTAGGTTTTAATTGAATTTGACGGAATTTCAATGATTTTATATATTCAATAAAAATTAATTTTCAGACCTAATTGAATAAATTAAGACGTTTTGGGGTCCAATTGAAAAATTGAAAAATAATGAGGAGCAAAAAGATAAAATGCGTCATTTTCTTCAACATTGTATGTTTCTTTATTAAAACCTTACCGTTGATGACGATGAAAGGTTTGCAATGGCCAGCGTCGTCGCCGGCCATCTTGTGCTCCCACAACAATCACGATGTAGTCAAAAGATCACAGACTTTTTGTCTCTTGACTGAAAGACGACGGTCTCATCAAAAAATCACAGGTTTAAATATATATTTATATTAAAACCAAAAATCAGCAACCACTGTTAGGTAGGACTTACGCCAATTGTTAGAGCTCACACAAAAAGGCGATGAACATCAAGATAGGCTTATGGATGATCCGCCGCTTGCGGCTCACGAGGCTTGGCGGTCCAACAACAACAATGGTAGATTATATTCTTTAGTTCTTCAACTATTTCAAAACTTTTTCAATTTTTTTATTTGATTAAATCGTTATTTAATTGAAATCAACCCATAAAAATTTCAAAATTAATCAAATTAATTCTGAAAATTTAAAACAGTATTAATATTAATTTTTGTCAAAATATTAAATTCTTAGCACTTGAATTAATTCGAAACTAATCCAATAATTAATACATTGTTTTACATCTTAAGGGGTAGATATGGAAGTGCTACAAATATTTTAGGGTACCCGCTCTACTCTGATCCGTTAAAGAGGATATGGGTAGTTATAAATGTGTTTGGAATGAATATGAATAGTGAAATTACTACCTGTAATGTATACATGTAGGGTATATGTATAGATATTTGTATACCCGTTACCCATTAACCGCTATATTAAACAAGTTCGGTAGTGGATATCCACAGTACCCTATCTATTAGTAAAACTGTATTTTAAATAAATTTGAATTTAGGTAGTTTAAGATTTGTGGGTACGCTACCGTTTAAGAAGTACTTGAAATAAGTTTTGGACAAATATGGGTAGCAAAATTTAAACGGTTTCAAATACAGGTACTTAAATGAGTTTAGAATGGATATGAGTAGTAAAATTTTAAACAGATACCTATACTATACAGGTAGTTTAAAATTCACAGGTACTCACTTCGCTTCCATCTTTATTAAGGGGTGTATCGGATTAAGACTCTCTTAGATTTTAAAAGATTTTTGAAATCTTTGGGTTAGAGGATAAACTTGTGAAGGACTCTTTTATTCATGCCTAGCACTTTAAAATCTAACAAAATCAATAATCTTATAAAATCCTTCCAAATCAGTAATTTTTTTAAATACCATCAAATTTGCATAGACTTTTAAAAAGTCATAATTGAATACCATCAGATTTTTATAAATTTTATAAGAATTTGAATTGAATACCACAAGATTTTATCAAAAAAAATCTAGATTGAATACCATTGAAATTTTAAAATCTAATAAAGTCTTAATCTAATATACCTCCTTATTGATGGGATTCCCGATAGCGCCTTGATAAAATTTTAATACCCTACAGTAACCTTAGTAATAATCAATTAAAAAATTATATTTTATTAGTTGACTGGATATAATTTATTAAAATTATTTTTTAAATGAATACACATAGATAATTAAGCATTTCAAAATTTAAAGTTTTATCTTTTTTAAATTTATTTTTTATTAATATATATGATAATATCTTATTTAGTAGAGAGATAAAAAAAGAAAAAATGATATTTTTTATATTTTTTTTTTCTTTATGTTTGTATAATTTGATTGGATATATATTTTTTAAAATGAATTTTCAAATAGAATATACATAATTAAACCTTTTAAAATTTTTCAATGTTTACTTTTTAAAATTTATTTTTAAAAATCTTTCAAATAAGAATATACATAATTAAACCTTGTTAAAATTTTTCAATGGTTTACTTTTTAAAATTTTATTTTTTAAATAAAATAAACATATTGTGTGTGGAGGAGATTTAAAAAACATAAAATAAATCTATGGAATTTTTAATTTTTAAAAATATATATAATATTTTATTATTATATCTATGTATCTATATATATTGAAATATTATTATATCTATGTATCTATATATATTGAAATATATTTATTAGGTGATATTATAGAATTGTACATATACAATTATAATGAATTTTAGATAAATGATAATATAAATTGAACTGAAATGTGTTTGTATATACACATTACTATTTTATTAATTAACCATTATATTCACATTAATCTTATATTATACATAGATTTGAAGAGTATCAATAATAACCGTTATATCCTACAGTAACCTTTAGTAATAACCAATTAAAAAAAAAAAAAACAAACGAGTATCAATAATAAGTAAAAGTAAGCAATTTTAAACTTAGGGATCAAATTGATTTGTCAGATACTAGAATATTGTTAGTCCACTTCATTGTTGAACCATTATCGATTGATCAAATCAAGGCCCTTCAGAATGAAGATCCACAATTGGTGAAGCTAAAAGATGAAGTTCCTTTAGGTAAAAACCTTTGAATTTGTGATTGAGAAGGGTGTGATGAAATGTGGAAACCGGCTTATAATGTGCATCCTGGAGCCACCAAAATGTACCGTGATCTGAAGGATATTTACTAGTGGACTGGTATGAAGAAAGATGTGACAGAATTTGCGGCAAGATGTTTGACATGCCAACAAGTTAAATTTGAACATCAAAAGCCATCTAGATTATTACAAAAGTTACCATTGCTAGAATGGAAATGGGAGAGGATTACTATGGATTTTCTAGTTGGACTACCAAGAACATCTACAGGTTATGATTCTATATGGATGATTGTGGAGCAAAATCTGTTCATTTTTTGCCGGTGAAGACCATTTATTTTGTATCCCAGTATACACAAATGTACTTGGATAATATAGTGAGTCTACATGGAGTACCCATTTCCATCATTTCTAATAGAGATCCAAAATTTAGCTCTAGGTTCTGGTAGAAATTACAAGAGGCATTAGATACTGTAGACACCTACATTTTATTTAAATTAATTTAATTATTTAATTAGCCAATTAAATTATTGGTTAATTAAATTAAATAATTTATTGTAATAACCAATCAAAATATTTAAATGGTTATTAAAATAAAATTATTGGATAAATATTATTTATGTAATGCCTCAAAATTTTCAAATCTTAAAATGATATTATTTTATTAGGTCATAAATGGTGTTGCATAGAGGGGATAATGTTTTATTTAGACCAGAGAAAGATATTGAATATAATTAATTATGGATGGACAGTGATTTAGCAGGCTATGAATAGTGCCACCGGTCTGTGAATAGTACCTTCGGTCCGGGAATCAGAATTATTTTGGTTCAGAAAACTTACTATTTATGTTTTATATTTTATTTAATATTTTTGGAGTATGCATATGTGATTTTTATGGGTGAAAAGTAAGTAATGAATATTTTTGGAGAATTTTGTTGGGGTTGAGTAAAAAGTAAGTAATGAATATTTTTGGAGAATTTAAATAATTAGTGAATAGTGAATTATAATGTTATATTAATTAAGGAAATTTGGGGAATTATTTTTATGAAGTAAATTTAGGAATTTTATGGAGATAAATAATATTTTGAAGGAATTTAATTGAAAAATATTTGTAGCCATTAGATTAGATTACTATTGACTCAATCCTAGCCATCCAATTATGGATAAAGACTAAAAAGCCCTTTATTGCTCTATATAAGTCAACCTTAAATAATTGAGCAACAACTTCCTCTTTTCTTCTTCTTCTCCTCCTCCTTAGGCGTCACTTTCTTCTTCTCCTTATTTTTCTTCAATTCCTACTTGCCAAACACCTCAATTTCACTCCATTAAACTTGATTTAAGTAATTAATCTTAGAAAATTAAGCTTGAGAAGTGATTTGTGGTAAGTGGAATTTGTGGGTAATTATTTTTCAAAATATTCTGGAGATTCTTACTTAAGGCCAAGGTTTGGGAGAAACGCTTTACCATGGAGTAAAGGCAAAAGTTAGAGCTTAGAAAAGCTTTAATTTAAGCTTGCTAAATCTTATTTTTTAAGGTTTAAGTGTTCATAATATTCATAAATACACTTACTTTGTTTCAATTTTTGATTTTGTGAATTTATGCTATTATGTGTATATTTGGGGATTTTGTATGAAATGATTGAATTGTTGAACCTTGGTTGTATAAACATGCTCTTGGGTGATATTTGATGAGTATTTAGTATGTGGTAGAAATCTCTACCTTGTATCTTTGTCTTTCATGTTCTTTTTTCATGATTAAAGTAAGCTAACATTGGAAAAAATTTGTTATTAAGTGTGATTAAAGACTTTTTTTGATCCTTTTTATTTTCCATCTATGTCTGATCCCTTAATAAAAGTTGTAGGTCTACTTCTTATCTTTCCAACCCATCCTCTTGTGTCCAATTTGGATATATATAGCTCAACTTATGGCTGAAACACCCAAACTGAAACTGACTTTTTGTTATGCCGAGCCACATGCATCTTTGAATTGAGTGCCCATTTTGACCACTATAATGGTATGATTATGTTCTGAGTTCTTCATAAAATTTGTTGTCCTATATCTTAAGATTTCCTTGGTTTTGAATTGGTTTAATTTGAGTGTTTGGATAAGTGGGAATTTAATAAAAATTTGACTTGGTTCTGCTGAATTAGGTCTAGGCTGTTGGTTTGAGTTCCTAGCTTTTGTTTACCATCTTATAGATTGATCTGGGCTCTGGTCCCTTCATAAAATTTGTATAATTTTATCTTTTCTTTCTAATGAATTAAACTTCACTCAATTTGGAGACCTATAACTCAATTTATGTCTTGAAAACCCAGCAAAGGCAAGGT